GCAAATCCGCATGGCACTGCGACATCACGGACGTAATTCGCCACACGCTCCGCCCACACACTAGAGGCAACCATATCACGCCGGATAGCCAACACTTCTGAGTCCAGCTCCGCAACGCTGTTTCCTGCACTACATACTGCAAACTTGCCACTTCTGAGTCCAGCTCCGAAAGGCTCCGTACTACATTTGTACTACAAACTGGCCACTTCTGAGTCCAGCTCAAAAAAGCTCTTTCCCGTACTACATTTGTACTACAAACTGGCCACTTCTGAGTCCAGCTCCGAAAAGATCTTTCCCGCGCTACATTTGCGCTACAAACTGGCCAGGTCTGAGTCCAGCTCCACAGGTGAAGTGCCAAGTATGAGCGTTTCGTACTGACTACTTCCTCCAAAAGTGAAGCGCCAAGTCTCCCAAACCAGCGTACTTCTTCCTGCAAAAGTGAAGCGCCAAGTCTCCAAAACGATCGTTTCGTACGAGACTTCCTCCAAAAGTGAAGCGCCAACTCTCCAAAAACAGCGTTTCGCACGAGGCTTCCTCGAAAAGTGAAGCGCCAAGTTTCCAAAACGAGCGTTTCGTACGAGACTTCCTCCAAAGCCAAGTCTCCAAAACGAGCGTTTCGTACGAGACTTCCTCCAAAAGTGAAGCGCCAAGTCTCCACAGCCAGCGTTTCGTACGAGACTTCCGCCAAGTCTCCAAAGCCAGCGTTTCGTACGAGACTTCCTCCAAGCGACCAGTCCAAAACGAGGGCGCGAAACGCAAGCGAGAGTGCGTTTTGGAGATCGTGCGCGTCGAGGGCGCGATACGCAGGCGAGAGTGCGTTTTGGCCCGGTCCGGCGCAACCCTCTGCGGAGATCGCACGCGTCGAGGGCGCGAAATGCAGGCGAGAGGCGCTCTCGGGAAAACATCTACAGCTTTGAAAATACCTAGTATATTTTTCACGGCTTGTTGTTCCTATATTTACTATAAGATAGCACTTTGGCAAATTTAAAAAGTAGTTAGCTAAACAAACTAATTTTGCTAGCTTACATTACAAAAGAACATAGCTTATTTAATAACTCAAGTAAAAAACTGTCTTGATTAATAAGTGAGTTAAATAAAGTTACATGGTCATGTTAATTTTGCTACTAGTTAAAGGAATATAATCTGTTATAACAATGTACTACAAACTTGGTAGGGACATAGCATATACTTACCAATGCGTGTAAACCGGGTAACCCACTACTAAAACCACAGTCTCGCGCCAAAAGTTCGACTGCTCCGACGCAACTCACCTCTTCCTCCCCATCTCCGTCGCCGGTGTCCGCCATCACCTGTCGGCTAAGCCGTCGGGTAAACCGCTCTGTTGCCACAAAAAGCGTGTCGGATTCTCAGCTTTTTCTGATCTGCGTGAACGCGTGTTTCTGGGGACGCAGCTGTGCGGTGCGTAAAGAGCTGGAAAACAATGTACCTGATGAAGAAAATCGGTGCGCCACTCCCACTAGAAGTGACAAGCGTTGGCACTCACTCACTATTCACATCTATTCACATATATTCAGTCCTTTATCATTAGCAAACCCCCCCGTGATTTTTTCGGTGTAGTCAAAACTCTGAACCTAAAAAACTTCCAAGCCATTTGGCAGAGGGATAGTACTGGTAGTAGTAGTCGTCGTCGTCATCTTAGTAGTCCAAGACAGGTTGAAAGGACGCATAGATAGCCTATAAGGCTGTTCGCCGTATAGTCTATTTTCTGCTTCGGCCTTGTCCTATCATGCTTCCACCCAGGGCCTCCCCGGGGCGAAAAATTGAGTTGTAAGCCGTGGTAAGCTTCCTTTGTGGCGCTGGCGAGCAGCGCGACGTTGACATCATATAATACCCTGAGGATCCGATATTGAAAAAAATCAATATTGGAAAAATTTTCAATAATATTGAACTTGATTTTTTTCAATCGTAGGATTGATCTTTTTCAATATTGGGGATTGAAAAAATCAATATTTTTGATCAATATCGACCAATATCATGATCAATATCCAGACCAATATTACAACCAGTATCAAGGCCAATATCAATGTCAAAATCAGGCAGTTCATGATGCCCTAGCCATGATCTATCAACATCAGGCAGTTCATTTTCAAACAAAGCCACACAGCATTTGGCTTACAGGTGCGTCCATGTGTTTAAGGGCAGAGGGCTTGAAAGAAAGCCATGTCCAAGGGTGGTGCCAGGAGATTTTCTGTGCCACCAGTGGATATGGATGCCCTGCAAGGCATCATTGACAGGGCTGTGGAGTCCAAGGGCGCTGCAGCTTTTCTATTAGGTGAATACGACACCAAAAAGGTGACCACTGCTGTGAGTGCAGCAGGCCTACATCAAAATGCCGCATGGGTGAAAGATTTTTTTCAATATCTCAAAAGGCGAGATCTTGGCAGGGCAACTGAAGCAGTGCATTCAAAAATATGGTCACTCCCACAACACCAGTGACTGGAAAGACGACCTCTGGGCTGGGAAAATTGCAAGCCAGATGGTTTGTATTCTGAGCCATGTGAGGAGGCTGGGGAGGGAACCTGATAAGCTGAGGCAATGCCTGCAAGGTGCCACAGGGGCCCAAAGGCACACCATTGAGGAACTTGTGGCCTTGTATGCTTGCAAGAAAGCAAATGAGCCCCCCC